TTTGTGCTTACATTCAATATAAGTATAATTCAAAAAATTTAATAGTAATATGAATAAATAACTGAAATATGTTTCAAGATCAAATAGCTCCGATTCCTCCTGTGGTTTGAAAAATTGGCATTGATACCTTTTTTTTTAAAACTTATTTCTAAAGTTCTCGTGGTTTTAAAACGTTACACCCACACCCCTCTGATCATTTTTCGGTCATTTTCCTACGAAGAGGGGAGCATTGTCGCATAATTTCTAAACCATAGGGGGCACTCGTGCTCATTTCTTATTTTTCGTTTACTATTTGTGTTTTTCTTTTTTAAAAAAATATTTTCTATCTCTTTTTCAATTTTATTTTTAAATTTCTTTTCAATTTTTTATAATGTTTTAAAAAATTTAAAATTCTTGTTGTTTGAAATAAAAATAAAAGTAAAAAAAAATCACATACATTACATCTATCTCAAATTAAACATTTTCACTTTTTGTTATTTATAATTATTTTTTGGAAAGTTCAAAAAGAAAACCCAAAATAAATAATATGGAAAAACAGAATGAAAAAAATTAAAATACGCATAAAAGAGTCTTCTACAAAAAAAAAAAATTTCGGGCACTCCTAAAAACGTTCTTAAAATTGAGATGTCCAAAAAGGATATTCATTTTTATTTTTGTATTATTTTGTTTCTTATTTTATTCCTCATTTTTTTGAAGTTCTCAAAAAAATTTACTTTTTTTCGGAAAAACAAAAATTGTTAATTTGAGACGTACAGATACATTATATGTTAATTTTTTCAAACAAAAATAACTTTAAATTTTAAGAAAATTATAAAAAATAATTTAAAAAAACCTTTATTAATAAATGAAACTAATGAAGAAAAAAATGAAAAACACAAAAAAGTGAGAAATAGGAAATCAGCACTGGTACCCCCTATGGTTTAGAAAATATGTACCAATGTCTCCCTTCTTCACTGGAAAAATGACCAAAAATGATCAGAATGGACACAAGTGCAACGTTTTGTAAACACAAAAACTTTAAAAATACTCTATAAGTTGTAAGAACAGGGAGCTTATTTGTTCCTATTTTAGTACCACGAAAATACGGGCACTATTTGGCCTATGTTTCAAAATACTCCGTAGCAAACATCACCAATATAGTACGCACGTACTGTAAAAAAAATATAGTGCTCACATTTACACAGAGATGAGAGTATGAGACTTCTTGAATTAACCCTAGTAAAGCCAATTTTAAAATTTCAATGACATGTACGTAGTAGATAATTAAGGCAATTTATTAACTCCAAATTCAATTAGAAAAATTAACTCTAAACTCTATCTAATTCTTTCTAACTCCCGATTTTTTATAACTGCTTCCAGTTTTTTTCAACCATGACTTAAAAAGGTATCTATATATGACAATTATACAATAACATTATCTGGGTGTTTCTTTATGTTGATAAGCTGGTCAAAACTGCTTATAAGCAGTTTTAAAATTATAAGTCAGCTGATGACATGTTTCTGTGTGCTTATAAGCCAACTTATAAGCCCGAAAAAATAAGTAGATCTAAGCAACTTATTTTTAAGTCAGTTTTTTCGTTTCTTCGTTTTGACCAAATTATTTATAAAACAGTTCCTCACCATTTATGAATACTTACAAATTATTTATATATCATTTAAGTCATTTTGCTTCCACGAAAGAATATTTGACTTACAATTTCCAAGCAGCTTATAAGTTAAAAACTACTCCATATCCAAAGCACCCGTACAGGGAAACACTAGTACAGAGAAACACCTCCATGTCCAAATTCATAACATACAACTCAAACGGGAACAAGGATGAATTCGTTTTTCTATCCAAAATTATTTTTCTTACATACTCCGTATTTGTTTGAGTAATAATTTAATAGATGAGTGACTTTTTAACACTTTAATTCTTCAAACTTTTCCAACTCCTTCTATTTTCTTCCACTTTATTTTAATTTCTTCTAACATTCAACTCTGAAACTCTAACACAAAAGTACAAGGCCTAAGTAGTTCGAATTTATAATTTTGATGGAGAATTTTTGTTGGTCATGTGTGCCCTGCTTCAATTATCCCGCAACGGAGGCTATGTGAGCCAAGTCACACTCGAATGTCGTGAGCGCTTGTGTTTGCTGAATGCAATATAAGAGTAAGGTATGCGCTTCTTCTAACACCAATTGATTCTAAAAGATTTGTTAGCGCTTGAGGTCCTACACATTGAAAAAATATCTACATTGTGTAATGGTACAAGGTTAATTTCTGATGAGCTGTAAAACAAAATTCTTTGCAATTGTGGTTTCTGAAAAATGAGTTAAGAAAAAGATTTACATACCCCGTACAAATTTGGTACTATCTAATCCAGGACTATCTTTGAATTTCAAAGAAGAAATTGTCAATAATTTTATATTTTGCTATGATTATTAAGAAAAGTCAAGGTCAAACACTATACTTTGTTAAATTATATGCAATAATGAAGTTGGTATTATGTTACGCTGAATTTTTTTAAGTGATATTGACTCGATTACAATGTACTCCTTTCGTCCCAAATACAGTTACTTGTTTACTATTCACAGAGTCAAACTTCATTCACATTCTTTTTCTATTTTTATGACCTTTTTGATAAAATAATATAGTCGTGTCACCTCTTGTTTTGTAAAACTTTTGATATAGTTTTTTCATGTGTAAACTTTGTTTTTTAATTTTGCTCTAGTTTCTAATAAATTGTATTAAAAAATAAATTCAGTCAAATATCGTAAATCAAAACAGGCGATTTAAATTGATTGAGACAAATGAGTAGTATTTGTTTATACTTTTCTCAACATAATGACGCACAAAGACATGGGTGGCTCGGAGGGTGTGCAAAGTGGCCAACCGCACAGGACCCCTTAAAATTTAGGGCACCATATTTTTAAATTTGTTAATAATTTTAAAGCAAAAGTATTCTAAAAATATAAAATAGGGCACAAAATGTAAATTTGGAACCGGGCCAATTTTATTTTTTCATTTTTCAGGGCCGGCCCTGCACAAAGAGCAAATGCCCCCGCTCTGCTTGGACTCGAATTTGGATGAATTTCCACATAAATTCCATGTAGTGACTTCCTATCACTCAAGCTAGGAGAGAAATTCAATTATAGTCAACTTTATGTTGATGTTTCACGGGTGAAAAGTATGACTAAAAGTATTAATTTTAGACGACATTAGAAACCCTTGCAACCTCACTAAAATTGTTGTATACCGAGAAGTTTTCTAAGAAAATTAGATTTAAATATGACTTGACATGTTCACTTTCAACTTCATGTTGTAGAATTTTCATTTCTAAATCATAAATGCTGTATTATTCATTCTATTTTTTTATGTTGATGTGGTGGTATTAAAAACCATGTTAGAGTCATATTTTGTGGAAACCTTTAAAAATCACGTTAAAGAAGATTTAAAGAATCGAGAAAAATGTTATTTTATCTTATCACGTTTTTAGCACGGGTTAGTAAAAACAAATATAAATACGTAGTAACTTTTTAATGAAATACTTACAACCCAATTTAACAATTTTGATTCTCTATATATTTGAAATATTTATTTGATAAAAATATGACCCTTTGGAAAATATCTTTGTTTGACTCTTGCAGAGTTTAAGAAAAAAATTTAAAAATAAAATTTACGGTCTACGTATGTTGAGAAGTGAGAAAAGAGTGAAACTTTTAGAACGGACCAAAAAAGAGCGACTCCTTTTACACATGAAATAAAATGTGATGTTTTATGAGGGATGAAGATAGTGTATGTTTTCAAAATAATTAATTTAGTAACTCGTACTCCCTCCGTTCCTTTAAACCCTTCTCATTTTGACTTTGGGCCAAAATAAGAAAAGTATGATTTTGGTTGACTTTCCCATTTTACTCCTGATGTGATGAGTAAAAGTAAGATGTGATAGTTTAGTTATTGGTGAAAAAGTTTGATGTGATAGGTAAAGTATGAAAAAGTACGGATAAAAGATGATTTTTAATAGAAATTGGAAGTGTTTTAGGGAATTTGTAAAAAACGAAAGGGGAGGGATTTTATGAAACGGAGGGAGTATTTAATATTAATTCAATAAAAAGAAATTTATGTATTTAATGGTAATTGTAATATTAAATTTGTTACAATAATGAAGTATTATACTAGGAATTCATACGAAGTATTAGTATATTACTCGTATTAGATTTAGATGCAGATTAATGTGTATGGTCGTGCAAAAAGAATATAGTATAATATTCATTCAATACGTATTAAAATAATTATACTTATAGTCTCAAATATATACATATTTTAAAATATTTTTGAAAATCATACAAATATGTGAGTGAAATATGTATATTATACGTACGTATATATAATACATATATCACACATAGTTTGACTAACTTAGCTAGAAATAGAAATTATGTTATCATAATTTCTAACACGATTCGCACAACGTCTAGATTTTTAATACAATTAGCACCACATTCACTTTTCTAACATAATAAGCACTACATCTATAAATGTTACAAAGTACCAATTTTATAATACAACATTCATATTTTCAATAATTGATTATTATCAACAATTTTCTTTTTTTACAACTTCAATATTTTCAATAATTGATTATTATCAATAATTTTCTTTTTTTTACATCTTCAATGTACTCCGTATTATTCAATTGATTGTTTTGTTTTATAAAGCAGATAATAGAATTAAAGTTATCTAGTGTATTCCACATTGTTTATATATAAAAAAAGTGGGCTCCACATTGTTGAATTAATTTATAATTATACAAGTAATCATCAAAATGTTAAGAGATACTCCGTAATTAAATATGAGTATTAACTTGAACCATATCCATTCACACGAATGCAACGCACCCTAAGTTTTATGATGTACACAACTTCTTGCTCTCTCTCTCTCTCTCTATCTCTCTTTTTTTTGAGGAAATTAAATAAAGAGTGAAATTCTTACTTAAAATCCCATAGAGTTGACACAATCCACTCACCAAACCAACCATTTTTTCTAAAGTAAACAACTGACTCCAACCACTAACCCATAGATCTACTCAAATAAGTGGCACAAACATGAAACACCTAATAGCTGGTTGTCCAACACATAGAACTCCGGCATGAAATCTAACCTTGAGATACATACGCACAAAAGTAGGCAGGCAAGCACCCTATGACCTGCATACACTGAAATTTTCTTCTAAACAACAGAATATTTTGCTAAAACTCAACTACGGAAAGCAAATTAAAATTATGGTACATACAACAGCGCATTCCTATCCAAGAAGCAATGCCTAACTATCTGCAAGCTAACTCCTTAAATTGACCTGCTCGCACAAATCTGCGTAAATCCTTTCAATTAAAAACCACATCATCAAGAATGGATGAACAATTATATTGTAGCGAAGACGACTGAGTTGGGCCGTGCAGCTCTCCAAGAGTCAAATGCTCTCCCACTTGACTCTGAACAAAAGCAGTGAACAAAAGCTCCCACTTGACTCATCCCCAACCAACTACTAAAGGATTTCACCTTTTACTGCAAAATTAGCAATTTAGAATCAATTAAAGACGTTGAATGCCTCTTCAATGTAGGTTATGTTCCTCCAACTACTGCCAACCATTCTCAATGCATTATTCATGCATCTATTTTCTTGGAATGAAAAAACTTATGCAATCGTCAAGACAAATTTAGTGCAATGAAATGAAATGTGATGATCTGAATCTCTTCTGTACAGTCAGTGCAAATGGGGAAGATGCAGCTTACAAATCTTCTGAAGGGAAACAATATCCGTGCATAATGTAACATGCCAATTATAATGTGCCATTGAAAAAATCACAGAGAGATATTTGGACTAGGAAAAATAAGGAAATAATCGAAACATCTCTACCTTTTCTAGGTGGGTGGGGGTAAGGTCTGCATACACCCACACCTCCACGCCCCCTTCGTGGGGTTTACTTTAGTGGGTTAGTTGTTGAATAAAATAAGGGCGCAAACAACATATGTACCAATTACCAAATGAAAAGCAGTAACCTTTATTGAAACAAAGGGCATCAGGGCATGTGTGATAAAATGTACAAGAATATGGAAAAGAATGTCAATGTCACTACAAAACAATGGTTTTCCTTACATTCAAGAGTCCAGACAATTCTTAGGTGAGTGTACGGCATCTGATCCAGAAGCAGAGGAGCTATCATCATCAGAATCTGCAAACATAATCCAACAGAGATGAAACATCGAATAAAAACAGGTAAAAGACAGAAACACGTAGAACTAATGTTTCCATCATAGCCAACATTCACCATATTATATGAAGATGAAAATCAACATTTACCACTTGATGGTGATCCCGAGTCACTGCTGGAACTTCTTGAATTGCTAGACCTATTTACATTATCCACCTGCATATCACACTGAACCGGAGCAGGACTAGTAGTTGGACAATAACTTGTCTCTCCTATTCACATATTGAAACATACAACTCAAAGATCTGTCTTAAGTGGAGAAAATCAATTAACTGATGCGCCATGTTTAGGTATATAGTAAGTACTAACCAGTTTTATGTTCTTTCTGTGAATGGTTAACCACCGGGCAAGGGATCTAAGATGACATCTCACAACATAAGCTTTCCTCATATAAACAATTAAATGAAAACAATGTAACTCAGCAATCAGGATTCACACCCTTACCGTTGGAAGAGCAGCCTGAGCCGCTCTAGCATGTTTAGTTTTGGCTTTTTTCTTATTCTTGCTAAGATTTTTCTTGCAATTGGTCACAAACCTATCAAGCTCCCAAAGTGTTTCTGCATCGACACCATCAATATCTACTTCAATCTCATCATTATGTTGTGCATGCGCAGGGTTTCTCTTCTTGATGATCTGAACAATACCATCAAGACGTTCAGGAGGCAAAGTCTGAAGACTTCTTCCAAGCATCTGTTTCTCCTCAAATGTCATGTTCCTTTTGTTTAGGTCATTAGCTTTTGGTTTCTTAAGAAATTGCGTTCTACAAGGAAAAGATGAGTTCTTTTTGGTATCTACGGGAAAACCCGAGTCATGACAGACTTGAAGCTTCCAACTGGGATTATATTCAGCCTCTATAAACACCCACTTTTCTTCAAAAATCTTGGACATCTGTTCTGCCATAATGTGAACATCCTGGCCTTTTGGGTTATATGTCATAGCATTACGGAACACGAGTCTCACATCATGTGCAAACTCCATTGGAGATTTGTACATATTACGCGAGAGCCTAGTCTTAATTGTGCCAAAATCCATGGGATGTTTAATAATATCATGATAATCATGTAGGCCAAGAGCATTAGCATTCACTGGAGTATTAAACACCCATCCATAAGTGTGATTCATCAACTTCTGAAGCAGTGAGCTGCAATTCCTGAAGACCTTGCTATTCTTATGCCAATAAGAGCCATCACTGAAACTGAAACCACGTCCACCATGCTTCTTCCCAGCACCATTAGGCTTCAAATTTTTATTGCTTTCGGGAGGCAAGAAATCCTTCCCAGTTAGGAACTCTGTATTTGTATAATACTGATTAGCCTTTGGTGTCCTCTTTTCCTTCTCTACAAGTTCATCATCCCCAATATTGATTTCTGAGACTGAAATACTTGGGGTCCTACACCGTCTAAAATCTTGATGCCCCATTGAACATACCTCTGAATTCCCCCTCATTAAAGCTCTATTTTTTATTTCCCAACTCGGGGAAAACTGTGGATGCCCAGGATCACCAAAATCACAAGCAACAGCACTAATAGTGCCTCCATTACTAACATCAACACTATTACCATGCGAAGCTAGCTGAAGCTCGGTTGTTTCCAGTTTCCTTACTAAGGACCTCACCTGATTGAGCTCACTCTCTACTTTCTTCAAAAGATCCCTAATCTCATTAACTGACCTTGCTCCTGAAAAATTAATCCTAACCATATCTTTGACCCTAGAAATTACTGGCTTAACAACCTCGGTCTCCACACAATGCACAGATGGTAATTCACCTATGTGATTATCATCTTGTAGCACAGGGTGGGATCTGATAACTTCATCTTGCTCGTCGGTGCGGTTAACCAGCCCATTTCCACCACCCTGTCCTTCCCCAACAACCAAATGTTCATCACCTAAGGGCCCATCACCAGTAAGACTTTGTGGTTCAGGAACCACTCCGAGCTGAAGCAAATCATTGGGGTGTTCTTCGGGTTGCTTTGGTAGTTCTTTTCCCTCTGGCTCTAAGGTTCGCCTACTTGGTTCATGAACATCAACACTTTCCTTCGTCTGGCCATTGTCTCCGGATTTAAAGGTCTGGGGTCGATCATCGACGGCAGTCAAAACAGCAGCTTTCCTTTTGCCCTTTCTAGTATAGACTTTAATTGTACCATCCCGCCTGAGCCATTCACTTGAGTTCAAATCAGTAATACCCGAATCCATACATGAAACCCAGAAAAGCCAAACACAGTGTACTGAAAAACAAACCCTAGCTTCCTCGAAAAATCAATTCTTTATAAAACAGAACACAAAAAGGAACCTATGGTTCCGAGAACCAGCCGTCCGGATTCTGGAACCTCAATCCAGTAAACCATCGGGTTGACTCAAAGAAAGCTCCGATCGATAGAGCAATACGAGATTCGGATTCGTAAGTTAGCTAGGGCTTTTCAACAGTGAAAATCAAGAAACGTGAAATCCCAAAAAGTTTATTTTTAAAACTAAAAATTCTTTTTTCCATTCGTATTCAAAGTTGAAACATGAAATTGTATACTCGACACTCGTATAAAAAATTCCGAAGGCACAGTAAAACAAAAAGTACTCCCTATAGTTTTTCACAACCATCGAATCGCTTAAAACGCTAATTCACTGATCGAATATTCAAATAATTGAACAAGTAGTTTCAAAATGACTAAAATATGAGTAAAATATTAAAAATATATCAAAATATGATTTCGATATTTTTATTTTCAAAATAAGAGTTAAAATTAATTTACATTACCAAATATGATCATGTACATTATCAAAAAGTATAGTAATGTGCAAATATGCAATGTTACATTACAACCACATTACCACAGTGCAAAATCCTATTTCAGGAATAAAAACATACTCCTATTTTGGTACTTCTTTCTGTGTTTTGGTCCTATTTAGGGTGATTTCTATAGTTTCAACATATTTAATATTTTTCATATATATATATATATATATATATATGTATGTATATGTATATATGTATATATATATAGATATATATATATATATATATATATATATATATATATATATATATTGGTTCTCGTGAGAATGCGATCTAAGGAGAGAAATGAGAATGAATCTAGTGTTTTAGATTGTGAGATCTAAGGGTCAGGATTGCATCAAAATCAGATGCAACAAAATGGTTTAAAAATGCATCACGTTGAAATGCATCATAATCATTTGAAAATGCACTATCTCAAAATCTGAGCGCAGGATGCAATCTAAGCCGCACGATGCATCATATCCAACGGCTAGATTTCATTCTCATTTCTCTCCACAAGGTGCATTCTCTCAGAAACCGGCCCCTATATATATATATATATATATATATATATATATTGTTGAGTCACAAAATATCATATTTTATTTCCTCATTTCTTAGTTTTTTTTAATACAATTCATGTGGATTTTATACCTAAATAATCATATTTTGTTCTATTTAGCAATTTAGGCTATTGTTTACATTTCAAACATAAAATGCATGATTTTTAGCATATTTATTCTACAAATAGTTTGGAGTATAATTTTTCTTGACAAAAATTTCTAGATATATTTCAGAATATAAATAGTTGAAAAAGATGTCAAAGTTGGACTCTATATCCAAAGGATAAAGAAGTTGGGCCAAGCCCAAATTTGGACTTTACCCACAATTCATGTTATTAACCCCTCAGGCAGATGCGGAGTGAGGAGTAATGGAGAAGCGCAGGGAACGGAAATGTCCAGACGCAAGCACGGAAGAGTAGATTTCTTCTCCAAGTCCATCTCTAATTCCTCAACTGTCAACTCCTACTCCTAATTGAAGACTTGGAGACTTAAAATTGAGCAACTATAAAAGGAGACAAAAGCCACAAGAAAAATCATCTTCTGGAACTCGAAAAGAAGATCGGAAACAGAGCAGGGAGCCGGCCTAGGGTTCCGACCCCTAGGCCCGGCAGTCCAGCGGCGCGATGGTGGCTTGAATTCTGGCGATGGTGATTCCGATGGCGGCTAGGTCCGGCGACGGCAATTACGCAGCGTCCGGCGGCGACGGTAGGACAGCGGCCATGTTTTGGAGCAGCAACTAGCTTGGCTCTGGTTCTGGGCTTTGGTGCACCGTGCGATGAAGACACTTCCAGGGAACATTACTTTTACTTTTCAATTTGAGTTTCTATGAATTAGGATCTTGAATTTGTTTAATTTCAAAATTGATGAATTTGATTTCCAATATTAAATATGTTATTTTCAAATCTTATTTTTGTGTTAATTGTTTAAGTTATAATATAAGTGATGAATTGTTTAAGTGTTGATGTTTAATTGTTCAAGTTATGATTTATTGATTGATTATTGTCTCTGGAATTATAAAACCTTCTTAGGCCAAATTATTTGACAAAAAAAGATTAAATCTTTGATTTAATTGTTCTTGTTAAATTAATTTGACTTTGAATAGATTTTAGCTCTATGCTACTGATAAATCTAAACTCAAAAAGGTGTTCTGAGAACTATTATTCACCAGATTTTACTTAAATTGGACCAAATTAGGACTGCAGCCTGATCCAATTTAAATTGATATTCTTTTAAAGTCCAAAGTGCTTTAAATAGCCGAACTTTTCTAGAAACCAAGTGTCACTTGATTAGTGCTTGCTGCCTCGTTAAGTGGTTTTTGCTAATCAAGGTTCTCGAACTGATTTTGTTAAATAACCGTAGTGTTACTGCAAGATTGTTATGGTGATGTTTTCCAAAGATTTTATTGCGCCATTCTTAGTAGTAACTTAAGGGTTGGTCTTTGGGTTGCTAAGGATAGTAGGGTTTAGAGTTAGGGTTGGTCTTAACATGAGCTAATATGAATGGGAAAATAGGGAAGAACCGTTGGTGGATCTCTTCTTCAGCCTAACCCTGAGTTTAATTAGCAGTTTAACTTCAGAATCAAGACATGATAAATTAGTGAATCAGATTTGTTCAATTTATTTTTTATTAAAAAACTATAAGTATTTTCAAAATGGTTTAAGTTAATTATTACTGTCTACGTTTTTATAAAGTTTATTGTGTGATTGTTTTTATGTGTTTGTTTTCTCCTGGAGTGTTCTTCTGAGTTCGAGTTGCTGCTGTGGTTCCATCCCTAGACTGTTATCCTTATTTTTATTTTATTTGCATTTTTATCTTCTTTTTAGAATTATCAGTCAAACCCCCCATATCTTTTAGATTTAGTTATTTAGTTTTAGTTAGTTTTTAGTCAATAAAAGTGACAAAGTAAATTGATTTTCATAGCTTAAAAAGTATCTTTCCTCGTGGGATCGACCCTTACTTGCCCTATCTATATGTTTTGATCAATATTAATGCATAAAGGGGGTTAAGAGTTAAGGAAAATAATTAATTAATTTGTAGGTGCTACGACACGCCTAACAAATTTTGGCGCCGTTGCCGGGGAAAGATTAACTTCTTATGGAATTCAGTTTGCTATGTTTCAAAAAAACAAACAAAAAAAGTAAAAAAAAAACAAAACTTAAAAAATCAATAAAACACAAAAAAAACAAAAAAAAGGTTAAAAAAAATAATAACAAAAACAAAAGAAAAGCAAAAAAACGGCTACTTAGAAAATCAGAAACAGAAAAAAAATTATGTTAATCAGTTGAAAAAAAAATCAGTCCAGTCTGGAATAAAAAGAAAAAAAAAGTCTGTTCTGTTACCTTTTAGTTTATGTTTTAGGTTAGTTTTTTTTGTTTCTTTTTAGTTTTGAATTTGTTAGTCCTTGAGTTTAATTAGAACACTAGCCCATTGTCTAGGTTTATTTGCGTCTTTGTAGATCTACAGTCAATTTTGCTTTTGGTTTTTGAGTCAATATTGAGTTTGTGAAATTCTTGAGTAGTTCTTACTATTGAATTAAAGTGGTGTCTTGAGTCTTGTACTCAGGTTTTTTAGCTTTAATTCAAATTCATTGCATTTACTTGACTCTTATTTTTAGTTTAACATTTAAAATAATTTAACAATAACCTTTTTACTACTCTATATTTAACTATTTTTTTTAAATTTAATTTAACTATAGCTAAACCTAAATTTTTGTTTAACTTCTGTAGACATTAACTATAATGAAAATTTTTAGTTGATAAAATTGTTAAGTGCCCTTTGTTGTTCAAAACTTGATTTGCAGATAGTTTATTCTTTGAATTGCTTTATTTGGTATAACTATTCACTTTTAGGATTAAGGGGTATTTAAATATAATTGTGTACAATGGACATGAATAGTTGTTGTACTTTTAGGTGCATATGTTTGAGAGCTACATAAAGCTTTGGAGATCAAAAGAAAAACAGAAAGTGAGGACAGATGGAGGCTAAGGATAATATCCCAATTCATAATTCTCTCTGAGCAACAACATATATTTCATGCACTAATAGAAGAAAAACAGAGAAGTAGGCCCATCTTCACAACAACATACCAGAGATTTTTTTTTTCTTCGTGAAGACAAAAGCCAGGATAAAGGGAAGAAGCTACATCTTGGGTGCTTATATTAAGAAGTACCCAATTGCAACGGGTGACTTGTGTAACCACCCCAGGGTTTAAATAGGAAAATTTTCCAAGGGCCAGCTCTCAAATAAGCCGCCACACACACACACACACACACACACACATATATATATATATATATATATTTATATATATATGACCTCACTAGTTCATAACATCACACAATATCATGCATACAAGTTCATCATGAATATCAACATAACAATTCAATTTATAAACAATATCATCAATATAAGATAATATGCTCTCGCTACTTTTGTCTAATAACTTACGTGGCTCATATCCTATTTTAGGTTAAGCTTATACTGATTCTGACTTACTTATTGGAGTCATGATATTCTCATTCGGATGGGTGAGATCCATGTCCTCTTCGTAACGACACTTCATAGACCCTCATACGCACGTTTGTACTCGAATAACAGTTGGACCCAGAAGGTTCCACATGGCTCTAACCTTTCTATACTTATGGCATAACTTGCCTCTATTCCATTCAGGTCAAATCTTAGAGTTCCTCTAGGTTCAAATGCTACTTTAATGTTGTATTACATTTACAAGTGCATATCACACAATATAAGCATAATCATATTCAACATAAACAAACATTATCAAATATCGACATATCACTGGGTGTGAACGTCCATGCTTACCGTCATTCAACATACAAAATCTTGGAATAAATCCTCGACACAAAAACAGGTTCGAGAATAATTCTGTGGTACCAGATGATACCTGGTCTGGTATCTAGGTACCGTCTAGGCAATACCTGATACCGGCTCGGAGACCAGATGGCTTGTGACGGTAGCTAGTTACCATCCTGATGGTAGGGTTTACCGTTCGTCTGGTACCTAGGTACCAAATGGTTACAGATTCCGCAAGCAGATTTTGGTCTATGGTGGTACTAGGGTACCGGTAGGTCAGTACCTTGCTACCGCCTTGCTACCGCCTGACGCGTTGGTTTATATTCCTGCACCAGCTCGAATTCCAGCAGGAACACCAATTCCATACAATTCAATACCAATATGTTCACAATACAATTCCTAACCATATCCAACCCTATCTTGATTATAATTATATCAATTCATGCTTTCTAACCAACAAACTATCAATAATCAAATCGAGCTGTCACACATAGGGTTTCGTAAAATCAATCATAATGATTCTACTAACGTAAGATTCAAACCTATAGATATAACCTAATGCTAGATGTCTATGTACTCTCCTCAAATTCGATGAAAGAGTAACTAGGAAGGTTGAACTAATGAACGACGGTGATGGTGTGGTCTTCCTCTTCCCTCTTCCCTCTTCCATGTCTTTCGACTCTGTACTGCTGTTTCGAGCAACATGGGACAAGAGAGAGAGAGAGAGAGAGTTGTAAATATGGGAGGCAACTTGGGGTTTAGGTGCATAAGGGGTAGTATTTATATGTTTGGGGTTTTGTGCTCTGTAAATCTGTAATTTAGTAACGTACATTGATATAATATATCCTTTTCTGGCCAACCTACTCCGAATTCAAATTCGTTTGCACCGTCGGATTCGTCTCGTCGAATCATACACAATGATATAATTTTTATAGTTTATTAACGAATATTTAAAATAAACTTTGGTCTCGTCTCAATAATTAATTAATTATTCTTAATTAATTAATTAATTCTGATAGGCTGGATTTCGAGGTTACATGTCTCTTCCTTGAAAGGGGAGACCGGCAATGCGGCTAAGTGCTTCCACTGTCAACTCGATGTGTTTGTCATTGACATGGGAGTGGATGACGTCGCCTTCACGCCAGAGGTTAGATCAAAAGGCCCGAACAAGCACCAGGTTATTGTTCTTCCAGGTTGGAGACAAAAAGCCACAGGCCGAATTGGTGCAACTGGACGTCTAGGGTGTCATAGGCTCATAGCCCTTTTTCTCCGAATAGTTTCTGAATGAAAAAAGTAGGATTAAACTACTTTTAGTGTAATGGTTTACACGGCTATATATGCTACTCCGTATTACAAATTTTATTGATTACACTATTAGATTCTGTGAAGGTAAAGTATCAAAATAATGAAATACTCTCTCCGTCCCTAAATATTTGCCACACTTATATTCCCAAGGCAAAATATCAAGTTTTTTCAATTCATTTTATTTACATATTGGTATAGAAATAAAAAATAAAATTTACATATCAAAAAACTACATGAAAAGTTCTTTGAAATAAGAGGTGTCAAGAATATTTTATTTTATCAAATAGCCAATGAAAACGTAGAAATAAACAAAAGTTCCCGCAACACCAAAAAAGCAAACGTTGCAAATATTTCGAGACGGAGGGAGTATTACGGAGTAGTACAATATAAAACCTCTAGAGTAAAAGCAATCTCGATTCTCGAGAGTCTAGTAAAAAACCTCTACCTCTCCTTTGACTTCAACAAAAATAAATACGGAGCATAGCAAAACATTTCGCGGGCGCTCTAATGCGTGAGCGAAGGATCCGCACAAAAATTTGATAAACTGTGTAGATATAGGTATAAAGATGGCCGGCGGCTATGTTAGATCGGATGATGATTACGATTACCTGTGCAAGGTGGTGCTGATTGGTGACTCCGGCGTCGGAAAGTCGAATCTGCTGTCCCGGTTCACACGGAACGAGTTCAACCTCGAGTCAAAGTCCACCATTGGCGTCGAGTTCGCCACCCGCAGCATCCGTGTTGACGACAAGGTCGTCAAGGCTCAGATTTGGGACACCGCTGGTCAGGAAAGGTACTTTGTTCTGCTTCTCTTACTTTTTTGGTTCACGCGCGCGCGTGATTTTGTAGTTACGGCGGCACCGGAGAACTGAAACTACCGGATACACTGTGGTTCGATTTCGTGCAGTTTGAATCTAGTGATAATAAAGTCAGGGCTTTTATTTCTGTAGCTGTCCATGCTTTTTGATTTTGAAAATATGTCTCCGGTAGTGCTGAATGATGTTAGATCTGGAAATGGTCATAAATTTATTGGATTTAGAACTTGGTAGTGACTGCTTCCGTAGAAATCTTACATTTTATACTCAATACATCTCATTATGCTTCATCTGCAATGGTTTATTAAGCTGCTATATTTTCCAGATAAATCGTGTTTGATGAGAAACCTTGTTAAGAAACAAATATATATGAGGTTTCATAATTCAAAAAAGGAATAATTTCCTGAAACATTTTTTAGTTCTTTCCACAATGCTAAAAATAATCTGAAATTTGCTTCAGATCTCTAACGTTGTTAGTCTTCTTGCTAGCATGTTGATGATGTGGCGTGAATATGTAATTCAACTAGATCATAGCTAGGCGTGACAAAATGACAAAATACCCTACAATTCTCCCATATTCCTTTGAATTGGCAATTTTTGTCAATTGAAACTAAGTGCAAATTCATGCTAAATGAGCAAAAACTAAGAAGAGTTTTACTGCTTTAGTGGGCAGATTATGAATATAAAACTGAAGCATAATTGTTACAGTATTATTTGTAGCAATATTGTCACTTGAGCTTTTTTTTTAAGACCAGGGGCAGCCAAACATGGGATTGGATGTAACAGTTTTTTCTTTGGAAAAACCATGTTGTTGGAAGGTTTCTGAAGTCTTCATTTTTGGATATTACACAACTTAGACTATTTGGTGGTCAAGTTCATATAAGTGACCTGCACAAAGCCACTAATGTAATGTAAATACTGCCAATACTAATTTAGAAAGGCAAAATTTAAGTTATCGACCAATTAAATACTCCGTACAAATTAGCAGAGTTACCGTCTCATGTTTGCTTGCAGTTTGCTAGTCTTCATGATTTACCAATTAATATACAAGAGATTTGTCTTTCCCTCGTTATCTAGTATCTAATTTTCTGTATTTGACTTTTCTCAAATTTTACAAAATGGTATCTTATTTAAGTGTATGTGACTTTTTTTTCTAAAATTTTACGAATGGTATTGCTTTCCTAAAATAGTGTCTCAGGTATGACCTTTCAAATGTCCTAAAATGGTTTTTCTCTCTTTACTTGGATTATGGTATGACATTTCCATGTAACTACATTTCTTTTTTGGTTTTTCTGTTTCCAACAGGGACGTACTATATAAAATCCAGTTTGCAATTCTGCTATTGTTGAACTGTCAAATGCGACTATTTAATTGCTCGCATTAGTGTTATTATTTTTAGTAGCTACTAGTTACATTGAAATTAACCAGATTCCTTTTTTTTCCTCTGTTATTGCTTATCCATTGTTCTTGATGGAACTCCAAAGATACCGTGCCATTACAAGTGCATACTATCGAGGGGCTGTTGGGGCATTGCTTGTATATGATGTTACCCGTCATGTGACATTTGAGAATGTTGCGAGATGGTTAAAAGAGCTAAGAGATCACACAGACCAGAACATTGTCATAATGCTGGTGGGAAATAAGGCCGACTTACGCCACTTGCGGGCTGTTTCCACTGAGGATGCAAAGGCATTTGCTGAAAGAGAGAAGACCTTCTTTATGGAAACATCCGCTCTTGAGTCCTTGAATGTTGAGAATGCTTTCACAGAAGTTTTGACACAGATTTATCATGTCATCAGTCGGAAAGCACTTGAGGTTGGGGATGATCCTGCGGCTCCACCAAAGGGGCAATCCATAGATGTTGGGGGCAAGGCTGATGTTTCAGCCCTAAAGAATGTCAACTGCTGCTCCGTCTGAACACTCAGAGCCTACTTACCCGTATATGCATTCGCCCTCGGCATTCCCGTTTTTTCCCAACTGTTATTGTGAGAAATGTAGTGTTTTTCAATTATAGCCTCAACTCTTTGCCGGAGGATGATGTCCCCTCAAGCATTTCATATGTATTGTTTCATTTGTATATCGTTCAGACTTAAGAACTTTAGGAGCTGCTAATAGCTTTAAAAATTTCTATTTACTTTTGCTGGTAAGAAACCGCTTTTCACGTTTATTCAAAATCATTCCCAGGTTGTCGGATGATTGAGACACATTGATGTAATCTCTATTGTACTACGCTTCTAGTCTAATACGGAGTGGACATATTTTTAAATATTTGATTCTCGTATTCTTTTATAAAATATAATTTTTTTTATTTTTTACATTTTATAGCATCAAAAATTAGTAAAAATTATAGACAAAAATCTATAATGAGAGACGTAAAAATCTATCATGAGCACATACGCGATGATGGAATTGCTACTAAAATCATGCTAGCCTCAATGTCAAAGGAGCTCTCGCTAGCCTTAGTGGGGTTAAATCATACGATATGGCGTAAAAATCTATCATGAGCTCATGCTAGCCTTAGTGGGGTTAAATCATACGATGTGTTCGTGCGATTAAGTGATTTCTTCATAGGGGATGACGAGCATGAAAGGCATTTGGCTGCGAAGGACCCCTATGACAGCCTGAAGAGAAAAATGAGTGATACCTCTACTTCTGGTATGTATGTTATAGAAGTTAACATGTCTACTTCCTCTGCATGGGTACTTGATACGGGATGCGGATCTCATATTTGCACTTCGATGCAGGGACTAAAAGAAAGTAGAAAGTTAGCTCGTGGCGAGGTTGAACTTCGAGTTGGCAATGGCACAAAAGTTATGGCACAAGCTGTTGGCACCTATAGCTTACCCTTACTATCTGGATTTGTCTTACAATTAGAGAACTGCTTATTCATTTCTTCGACTAGTAGAAATATAATTTCCATATCATGTCTTGATAAAACTGGTTTTATCGTTTCAATAAAAGACAATTGGTGTTCCATCTATAAAGACAATATGCTTTATGCTAAAGCTAATAAGATATGTGGATTATATATTCTAGACATGGACAAATCAATCTATAGCATTTCAACTAAAAGATCCAAAACAAATGGCTTGAATCTGGCGTATCTATGACATTGTAGGTTAGGTCACATTAATGAGAAACGCATATCCAAATTGCACAAAACTAGTATACTGGAGGCATTTGATTTTGAATCATATGATACGTGTGAATCTTGTTTATTAGGCAAGATGACAAAGACTCCATTTACCAATCAAGGTGAAAGGGCTAGTGATCTTCTTGCACTCGTACATACTGATGTATGTGGGCCTTTCAATATAATAGCCCGAGGAGGTTTCTCATATTTCATTACCTTTACTGACGATTTTAGTGGATATGGTTATGTGTTCTTGATGAAACACAAATTGGAATCATTTGAAATGTTCAAAGAATTTTGAAATCAAACACTATTGGACATGGTTCGATCCATAATGAGTCATGCAACACTCCCAGACTCGTTTTGGGGATACGCGTTACACACAGTGATATAAACTCTAAATAGAGTTCTAACTAAAGCAGTAAAAGGAATACCATATGAGATATGGACAGGCCGTAGCGCGAGGTTATCTCAAATGAAGATTTGGCGCTGTGAAGCATATGTCAAACGTCTGTTGCCGTTGGGTAAACTTGACACCAACTCTGATAAATGTTTCTTCGTTGGATATCCAAAAGAAACTCGTGGATATTATTTCTATTATTCAACTGACAACAAATTTTTGTTGCCCGAAATGGAACCTTTCTAGAAAAGGAATTTCTATCCAAAACAGTTGATGGAAGAAAGATAAATCTCGAAGAAATTTGAGACAACGAAGAAGATAACCAACCAGACGAAGAGAGACAGCAAGAGGAAAAAATCGTTGTTCCTACACCCACCCAAGAAACACAAGTCCTCCAAAGGTCCATGAGAACACGAAATCCACCCGAGAGGTATGGGTTTCTCCTAACCTGTGAAGGAGACGTGTTTCTCATCGAGAACGACGAACCTGAGAACTACCTCGAAGCCATAAGTGGCCTAGAGGATGAGGAATGGCGTCAACCCATGAAATCTGAAATGAATTCCATGTACACAAACCAAGTATGGACTTTGGTTGATGCACCCACTGGAGTCAACCAATTGGGTGCAAGTGGGTCTTCAAAAAGAAGACTGACATGGATGGGAAGGTACACACCTTCAAAGCACAACTAGTAGCAAAAGGTTACAGATAAATACATGGTATTGACTATGATGAAACCTTTTCTCCAGTCGTGATGATAAAATCCATTAGGATACTACTTGCTATCGCTGCATATCATGATTATGAGATCTGGTAGATGGACATAAAAACAGCTTTCTTAAATGGAAACCTCATTGAGGATGTGTACATGACACAACCTAAGGAATTTTACGTCCCCGAGAAATCTGCCAAGGTATGCAGGTTATAGCGATCAATCTTTGGATTGAAGCAAGCCTCACGGAGTTGGAATATTCGATTTCATGAGACCATAACTGGTTATGGGTTTCAAACAAATGAAGATGAATCTAGTGTATACAAGAACACTAGTGGGAGTACCATAGTCTTTCTTGCTTAGTATGTAGACGACATATTATTAATGGGGAATGATATTCCTACTATATCCTGTGTAAAGACTTGGCTGAGTAAGAACTTCTCCATGAAAGACTTGGGAGATGCAAGCTATGCTCTTGGAATCAGGATCTATACGGATAGATCAAGGAAGCTAATTGGCTTAAGTCAAAGTAGATATACTGACAAGATTCTCAAACGATTTCACATGGAAGAATCTAAGAGAGGGAACTTGCTAGTAATCCAAGGAATTAGTCTTTCCATGACACAAGGACCTTCCACAGAGGAAGAAAAGAAATGCATGGAAAATGTTCCATATGTGTTTGCCATTGGATCGATCATGTATGCCATGATATGTACGAGACCTGACGTCGCCTATGCACTTAGTATCACAAGTAGATACCAATCCAATCTCAGTGACAGTCATTGGATGGCCGTGAATACTATCCTTAAGTACTTACGAAGAACTAAAGATGCCTTCTTAGTTTATTGTCTAAATGTTGGAGCGGTAAGCTGGAAGAGCTACAAGCAAGACACTACCACAGATTCTACTACAGAAGCAGAGTACATGGCAGCTTTCGAAGTAGCAAAAGAAGGTGTTTGGATAAAGAACTTCCTCACGGAACTTGAAGTGGTTCCAAGCAGTCGAGACCCCATCCCCTTGTGTTGCAATAACATTGGGGCTATTGCACAAGCTAAGGAACCACGGTCTCACCAGAAAACCAAGCACATTGTAAGACGCTATCACATAATACGAGAAATCATAGAATGTGGAGATGTAGACATTTGCAAGATAAGACAAATGACAATCTAACAAATCCATTGAAAGTTATTATTTTGGAAAGAAAATAAAAATATTTTCTTGAAAGTTATTATTTTGGAAAGAAAATAAAAATATTTTGAAGATATTGATTTTTGGAAATTTAGGATCTACAGAAAATTAATTTAAATAAATTGTTTTCATTTTTATTAATTAATAGTTGATATACGTTTAAAAATAAAATTGTAAGAAATGTAGAAATTTTATTTTTAGATTAATTTTTTATTTAGAAACAAAGTTTTCATATTTCAAAATTATTGATTTTCCATATTTTTATCTTTGAAATTTACTTTGGAAATTAAATTTGTTTCTACGGTTGATAAATGTTATATTTCAAAAATATAATTTTGTGAAATCGGGAAATTCGATTTTTAGTTTAATAAAATTAAAATATATATTCAGTATTTTAGTATCAATTTTTGAAAAGTATAAGTATATATGTCAAATAAAAATCCTAGTTTCGATACATACACATACACACACACAGATATATATTCACATATAGTAGTAACGTGTTTTAAAATTTTGGAAACTTCAAAATTTTATTTTGATATTCTGGAGTTTTAATATATTATTAATTATATTATTTAATAACTTATTTCTTTCGTAGCCACATAAGTTATTTTAATCATAGAATAAATTAGTTTTGGGCGAGCACGATTCGATTGGTGTATGCTTATTTATTTGCATGTGAGGCATGTAATATGGTTAAGGTATGAAATACTTCCTCTGTTCCAAATTAAGTTACACGCTTACTATTCATAAGGTCAAATTTTAGTTTCTAGAAACTTTATTCAAACTTTACTTATTTTTGTTATTCATTTAGAAAAATAATGTAATCATGTCATCTTCTGTTTCGTAGAGATTTTGATGTAGTTTCTAAATATGTAAATTTTATTTTTAATTCCGCTCCAATTCTCAAATAAATTATATTAAAAATAACTTCAATCAAACATTGTAAACCAAAACAAATGATTTAAGTTGGGACGGATGAAGTATTATATTATAAATACAACTTACGTATCATGTCTCATTTGTTCATCTCAGGTAGTAAATCTTTTAATAATTTTTCTAGTTTGATTCGAAAAAGTCAAATTAGATGAATACAAGAGAAAATGAGAGTAGCTGGTAAAGCGGAAAGGGCCTCGACATGCTACGGGCATTCAGTGCTGACGGGAACACCACCCGATGATCGGTATTCTGTGTACAAGGGAAGCTGATGCAAGAGACTGAAAACTTTAGCCTTCGGTTGCTGCTTTCTTTTTATTAATTTTTGAGTAAATTCTAGAATTGGTTTTTTTATAACAAGAGTTTTTTCATATTAAGTCATCTACGATCAAATTTTACGCTTGTTGCACTTCTTTTACCGATATCTTTTTATGGATAGTCTTTTTTACCTTCTATCATGTTTATTAATTCGAGAGGTAAAAGTGTAATTTCACATTGATCCTATATCTATTGACATATTATAATGTCGGCTTGACGGAGAAAAAGAACAATTATGACTATGATTCCGCACAGAGATGACTATGTACTAGACAACGATTCTAGTTTACAAATAACGCATCTGAGAAGAAAGCTATATGATTATTGTAAAATTACACTTTTAGCACTTAAATTAACACAATATGACAGAAGGTCAAAAAATGGATTATCGGTGAAAAGAACCACAAACATAATATTTGATAATAGAAGACTAAATATGAAAACTCTCTATTATAACATACTACTTATAGAATTCATTCTTAATTTGTTTTAGTTTTTTAATTGGGATGGACACCATTATATGAAAATAAAAGGAAAATCAAATATAAAAAACTGATGTAACGCTGAATTGGAAATGAGGTGGGGGAGAACAAATATGACCCCACCACGCGGCACCATGGCCAAATGCCCTTTAATTATCCTGTGCGGATAATTGTGCTGACACGTCTCCTCTCGTACCTCAATGGCCTTCGCTACACTCAAATAGGAGAAAAGGCAAATATTTAGGGGATGATGAATTAACTCTGATACTTCAATTCTAGAGACATCAAACTCCTGGCACGTTCTTTCATGAGATAGCAAAAAAGGCAATATTTTTTGCTTTCATGAGAGAGATTTGAGAAAGGTTGTGATATAGAGATCATCGAACGCTCTTGTTCTCGTTGAATTTCCTCCCTATTCGCACTGACGATGCCGCTTTTACTGCGGCGATGCGCGCTGATAGCTGGTAACGGGAATGGTGGATCGCCGGGAATGTTAGGGTTTAGGAGAGGCCTGGCGACGACTTGCAGGGCGGTGCTTCTGCCTCAATTCGGCGGTCCCCACGTGCTCGAGCTTCATGACAATGTCAGCGTTCCTAATCTCAAACCCAATCAAGTGCTCGTTCGCACTCGCGCTGTGTCCATCAACCCACTGGACACTAGAGTCGGTTCAATTTCCCACGCTTTCCCCCTCCCATGTTTTACTTTAGCTTGATTGGTTACAAAAGGATTGCCTTGTTTACTGGATTATTTTAGGCATTGAAAGTTTGATACAATAGGACACTGGGCTGGTGCAAGTTTTGTTGCTTAATCATTAGGACACACAAAAACTTAGTATTCATGTTTTGGTTGTTTTTAAGTTCTGAAAATGGAAACAATTTTGTATAAATGTTGTCGTCCATTTTACTTTTGTTTCTATAGTTTGGAGGGTCCTTTGTTGTGTTCAGAAGAGATAAAAATGTGATTTTGCAAATGGTACACAAATTGAGCATGTAAAATTTCAGTACTAGATTTAGGATTCTGATTCCTTAAAAGCCATCTAAACTTGCATGTCTTGATGTTATTAGCAATTAGCAAATAACATTGTTGTTTTCATTGTATTTACTTCTCAGTTGTTTCTTTCTGTGCATTTCTAAGCATCATGTATGTAGTAGCATATTTGATATTGTCTCATCTCTTTAGAACAAGTCTTAATTGATAGTGGATTAGTTATTGGGATATTTACTTTTGTAATTTCAAATATTTTACATTAGATCTTTTTTCCAGATGCGGTCAGGTTATGGCCGTTCAATTTTTGAACCACTTCTGCCATTGATTCTGGGGCGTGATGTCAGCGGCAAAGTTGCAGCTGTTGGAAATTCTGTACGCTCTCTAGTTGTTGGGCAAGAAGTATTTGGTGCTCTTCATCCAACTGCCGTGAGGGGTACTTACACTGACTATGCTATCCTTGATGAAGATGAACTTGCTCCAAAACCGGCTTCTCTTTCACATGTGGTATGTCTTCAGAGTTAGTTAGGGGATACTGTTTATGATACTTGGTATAGTTATCCCCCTCATGCATCCACATAATCTTTGGCCTTTGACCATTTCTGTTTCTTTCATTTCTCATGAAAAGTGCATATCTTTCCCCTCCCAGCCATGTGTTGTACAAATGTCGTAGTGGTACATATTGTAAACATAAATTTAATTTTTCTTTCAATAGAACTTTACTTAAATTTTTAAAATATGAATTCAGGAATTTCGGGCACATACCTATTACTACGTACTTCGTAGTCATTAATTACTCTCTACCTCACATGACGTAGTTTGGAATGGCTCATAGTGATCAATATGTAGCTAGAAGGACATACTCATATGTATCTAGCATACATTGCATGATATTTCAATGTACCGTATGAAACTCTTTACAATAATTTAAGTTACGGAGTATTCGATTTTTGACTATTCCATTATCATTTTCTTTCTTTTCCTCTTGGATGTATCTAGTCACTTTAGCAAAATAATATGCTTTAACTTCCTTCAGGAAGCTAGTGCTATTCCTTTTGCTGCTCTAACTGCTTGGCGTGCTTTAAGAAGTACTGCAAGGATTACGGAAGGGTATGTATTTTTTTCATCCGATGCATTATTTTTCCTGACTTTATAAAATATTAAAAACTGAGTTTCCCTGTCATTGTACTAACATGTGCATATTGTTTGGTAGTTTATATCAATTATCAGAAGCAGTTCTTTTAGTGTTGTAGCAATGAATAAATTAATGCACCTGCATAGTGTTTTCAATAGATTGCACTATTATACCAAAAAAATGTTGCGCCCTCCCTTTCTAAATTAACTTAACTTTTTTACTTCACGGAGTTTAAGAAAAGTGTTGAGAAGTGAAAAGTGTATCGTTGAAATTTATTTGGAAGAGAGAAATAAAGTTGTCCGCATATTTATTTCCTAAAAGAAAAAGTGGAAAAGCACAAAGTTAATTTTTGGACATCCAAATATGGAAAGAGTAATGTTGATTTGAGGATAGAGTGAGTATTTTACATGTTCGGCATTTACAAGGAATGTTGATTGGAAATAGGAACATACTATCAATTGTGAAATTTAATAAAAGGAGCATGACGAAGCCATCATTTTATTGACGTTATTGCTTTTCTGTGCAAATATTTGAAGTCAACGGGTCTTGGTGATCGGTGGTGGAGGAGCAGTGGGGTTTTCTGCCATTCAACTTTCAGTTGCTGCAGGCTGTTCTGTATCTACCACTTGTGGAGGTGATAGTATTGATCGCATTTTGGCTACTGGCGCTGAGCAGGCAGTGGATTATACTACTGAGGTACGTGCATGTGTTTGTGATTTGTATGAATCTACATGCTGCCACATCATTGTAACTTCCTGGTCTTGGTATGTGGTTTTCTCTCCCACTTTAATTTACTTTTTTTTTTGTGAGTAATGTGTCTTTTTCATTTCAGGATATTGAAGTAGCTATAAAGGGGCACTTTGATGCAGTTTTGGATACAATTGGTGGTTCAGAGACGGAAAGGATCGGCATCAATTTTCTGAAGAAGGGTGGACACTATATGACACTTCAGGTAACAAACTCTGCCAAATCCGTCCCTTTCCTGCAGAATCGAGAAGAAAACATCTTCATTTCCCTTTGATATGTTAATCTTCCTAATTTAGGGAGAGGCTGCGTCATTAACTGATAGGTATGGACTAACTATCGGCCTTCCCATGGCAACTGCTATCTTGCTGAAGAAACAGATCCAATATCGATTTTCTCACGGAATAGGTACATAACGTTCTTTCTTCATATTCTGACCACGTCTGTGTATCATGTATGAATCTGCTTTGGTATTATCAGGAAAAGAAAGAACCACTATTTCCACTCATAGATGTTTTAAAATTTGGCATGTGCAGAATACTGGTGGACTTACATGAGGGCTGATGCTGAGGGTTTAGATGAGATCCGGAGGCTATGTGAAGCGGGGAAGCTCAAAGTACCGGTTGACAAAACTTTTCCTATTACTCGAGTTCAAGATGCCCATCACGCTAAGGATAAAGGGGAAATTCCTGGAAAAGTAGTGCTGGAAGTAGACTAGATGAACTCAATGAGTCATGAGCTGCAAACTTAAACCCTTTTTTTCATATTGGTTTTCAAAAGCGTTTGATGTTACGACCTGGTTGATACTTGACTATAGAACAACATCAACTTCCATGTGTAAAATAATGTAAATCTTGAAATGCTGTTCGGTTTTGTATATTTTCTTCATTTTATTTACGCGTAAACAGTATTTCACAAAACTGAAGGCATCCGTCGGTAGAATTCAGTCATTTCTCATAGAGATTAGTACTCCCTCTGTCCCATTTTAAATTGCCTGTTTGCCTTTTTTCTCCGTCCCAAAATAAGTTGGCTGTTAGTTGTTTTCGTAAACTTTTAAAAATAAAATACCTAAACTATCCCTAAAATAAGTCATTCTTTTTCACCTTATCTTCTCATTTATCATCACCCTTCCTAATGTCAATTTCGAAAAATCAACTCTATTTTTTATTTTTCTTAAATATGCCCAAAAGTCCAAACAAGCGATTTAAATTGGGACGGAAGGAGTAGTTGATAGTAAACTCATGTTCGACATGTTTCTAAGAGCCTTGGAAACAGAACCCCTTGTTGCCTGGTAAGTTGTTTGCCGGCTAATGCTCTAGGGATCCATTTCTTTTGGTAACTCGTTACGAAGTTAATATCTTCATTGCAGTTCCTCACTTCTGTTGAGTCATAAAATATTTGTATGTTTTTTTTCCCTCAATTCTCAGAATTTTTAGGATACTTTTGGCTTGTTTGGGAACAGCGTTAGCGTTTTGAAAAGACTATCTACGGGCAGCGTTTAGCGTTTTCAAAATAATCTACACCGTTAAATTTTAATCCAAAACGCTAACGCTAATCTCTAAAGCTATTCCCAAACAGGCCCTTTATATGCATTTATATACTTTTTATTCTCAGTATTTTTAGGATAATTTATATACTTTATATGCATTTTATTCCCCCTTTATATACTTTTTTAATTTAATTGCATTTATTTAATAGAAAATCAATCTTCATTGTTTATTACGGGGTTAAACGGCGAGAGTATTTATTTGTTAAATACTACTCCGTAATTTTTTTAATCGATTCTATAATTAATTATGGATGTAGCAAACAATCTATGGACTTTTTAAAATCTAAACAAATTCAGATAATAGAATACCCTAAAATCTATCCAAATCCACGTAGAATTAAAAGAATCCATAGATTTCTCACAATCTATTGATTATAAAAAAATCTAATACAATCTTTTAAAATCTGAATTGAATACACCCCTAAGTAAATACTTTTACTGTTTTACAATCTTATGATAAACACTTATTCATTAAATTGTTACATAAATCTAAGATTTATTATAGAAACAATCATTATTCACACGTTGTAGAACACTAAATTTTAATTTAATTCAGATAATAAGATTAATAACTTTGCTAATAGCTGTGGTGCCCGTCGTCTTGATACCAGGCCGTGGCAAGCCGGAGAACATTGACATCGTTCATCCCGCTCTTTTGGGAACGAGAGCATCCATCGTAAACTCTGATAAACTTTCGGACTTTACAGTTGATGTGGCCCCATTTCGAAGTGAGGTTGTCCCAAGTACGGTACAATGCGTCCTTGTTCATCGCCGCAAAGAACTTCTCCTCAATACGATCCCACATTGCATGCTACGTTTCCTCCGAACCTTTAAAAGTATTTAATTGAGCGAATTTTTTTAACACAAAAATATAAATTAGAACACAAATATATCATAAAACATATAATTTTTACCAACGATAGGATGCTCGGAGACGTCAACCCAAGCTGACGCCAACAAGGACATTTCCTCGATCTAGTGTCCAGTTTTGGATTGACCACGCCGCCTCGGTCATCGGTTGAGTGCTTTTGATTTATGACTCTTCTGGCGTTCACTTTTTTTTGATTCCCGATGGTTCTGGTTGAGTCTCCGGAATCGACTCCGCCTCATCGAGTTTCACCGATGGTTGTGTTTCGAACATCCTTGGATTACTCCCAAATTGTTGGAAGATCCACATGGCGTACTCGTTTGGCTCGAGATTGCCGCGGGAAAAATCGGAGCCAGAGGGATTCATGTTAACAAAAGTTGAAGAAATGAAAGGTGTGAAGAAGATTGAGAATTGGAGATTGAAGAAATGAAAGATGTGAAGAAGATTGAAGATTGGATTTGATATTTATAAAAAAATAATTAAAGAATCTTTTTTAAAATATGTAATGGCTAAATCTACCATTGGGGGGGGGGGACTTCGGTGTTAAGCCTTTGACGCATGGCTATGACGCTGGAGTAACACCCTTAGGGGGGGCGGTGTTTAACGCCGAAGTGGCGTTGAGCGCCCCATGGCGCCCCCCGACGTTACAGGTATTTCCGATGCTCTAAGAGTGGTGGTTGTAAGGCTATGTGTAATGATCACACTTGATGCTGCGTGAGCTGAGGTTGCTTTGATACATCCCAAGCGATCCCTATTGAAAGAATTATTTGGGAGGAAATTCTCTGTATTTTGTATTTCTTTCTTGTCTTTACAATTTACAATGAAGCCATATATATAGGATCTTGAGACTCCTAATTAGTAAAGGAAAAGGAAAAGGAAAGAATCCATATACAAGGAAAACTACCAAAATAATATATACACAGATATCTCCAAATATTCTCCGAATATATTCTTTCCTTTAACACCACCCCTCAAGTTGGAGCATGTAATAACGAAATGCCCAACTTGGGAAGAAGAAACTCCTAACGTGACTTTCCGAGTGCCTTTGTATGATTATCTGCAAGCTGATGCGTAGTAGGCACATGAAGTGTACGAATCTCTCCTTGCAAGAGCTCATCACGAACGAAGTGACAATCAATCTCAATGTGCTTCGTGCGTTCGTGGAAAACCGGATTAGCAGCAATGTGAAGTGCCGCCGTGCTGTCACATCGGATCGTCATGGGGTTCTTATGCTCAACCTCTAAACACCGCAATACATTCTTCAACCACTTCAACTCACATGTAAGGAAAGCCAAAGCTTTATACTCTGCTTCAGCAGATGAGCGAGCCACCGTCGACTGCTTCTTTGTTTTCCATGAGACAGGCGAGTCTCCAAGCTGCTCAAACCACCCTGTCAATGACCGCCTCGTCAAGGGACATGCTACCCAGTCCGAATCACACCATCCTGTGAGTTGACGACTACTCTCTGCTGATAGAAAAATGCCCTGTCCCGGACATCCTTTCAAATAACGAACAACTCTAAGGGCCGCAGACCACTGATCCTCCCTTGGTTCCTTCAAAAACTATGCTAAAGTGTGGACAGCGTAAGAAAGTTCCGGTCGTGTAACGGAGAGATAAACCAACCTTCCTACCAACCGTCGATATGGTTCTGGATCTACAAGAACCGCGGCTTGGGAATGAGCCAAGTGATGATTTGGCTCCATCGGGACACCCAACGGCCTGGCACCTAACAACCCCGCCTCAGTGATGATATCTAAGGCGTACTTTTGTTGGCAGAGAAAAATCCCAGACGTGCTTCTCGCCACCTCAATGCCAAGAAATTATTTCAGTGTTCCCAAGTCCTTCATATGAAAACAATCTCCGAGATAGGCTTTGAACTTGCTTACCATCTCTGTATTATCTCCAGCAATAATCAAATCGTCAACATAGACCAAAACATGTATGACTCCTTTCTTTCCAACAAAAGAAAATAAGGAGTAATCAACAACAGATTGGACAAACCCATAGCGTTTCAAGGCTCTAGACAACTTGGCAAACCAACACCTCGGAGGTTGCTTTAAGCCATACAGAGACTTCTTGAGTTTGCACACCACATTAGACGAATTCGAGAAACCAGGTGGCAATCTCATATACTGTAACGCCACAACCCGGATACCCAAATTTATTCGAATATCCGACTCGCGGTGTTAACGGGTCTAACTTTTTGAAACAGTAGATGGAGTATTAAACAAAACTTATTTATTTATTGATAATATCGGAATAACTATTATACATGCGGAAGCTTAACATATTCGTACAAAATATATATTTCAAATAACATCTTTATTGTTATTATCTTTGTTTATGTTATCTCGTCCATCCTTCCATCGCCTTAGCATTGTCCTCCGGTTCAGTCACTATTCTGTTTGTGTACCTAAAAAAAATGGAGCCAACCCGATCAGCAAAAGCTGAGTGGTACCAATTATAACAAAAGGTACAAAATATAATAGCGTAAACATACACCTTTTCTAAAATTTCTTACGATAATAATATAAACACATTTGTTTTATAAAACTGTAGTATCAAGAAAATCAACTTTTCCTTTACTCTTTGTTTAACTAGGACTTCAAGTACTTCGGGTACAAGACGAGCCCATTATCTCTTTCTGGGACTTCAAGTACTTTGGGTACAAGACGAGTCCGTTATCTTTTTCTGGGACTTCAAGTACTTTGGGTACAAGACGAGTCCGTTATCTTTTTCTGGGACTTCAAGTACTTTGGGTACAAGACGAGTCCATTATGACGAGCTCGTACGTATGACAATGGAGGGGTACTGGTTAACCCTGTGGAACCTTGTGAACCGTAGTTCACATACCAGAAATCGTTTATTAAATTTAGAAAATATAATTTGTATCTGTTTGTGTCTCATTAACTTCTTTATATCCATATTTCATTCAACACATAATATACTTTTCTCTATATACGTAATTTAAAAATAATATATAGAGTATTTTAATTTATATTTGCATCAAAGCTATCATTTTTCCCTTACTAAGAACTTATTAAAAACTTTCTTAGAATATAAAGAAATAGTTTAAAGTGTAGAATGTTAAAGAATCCTGTCACCGAAGTTGGTCGTTTCCGGTAACCTTCTCCGACGAGGTAACTTTGTTTTTACGTTCAAAACCCAATTTTCCTTCATTTTCTCATCAAAATACTTTTTATACAACATATATAAACAGTTTGGACGTAAAGATTTGTAGAAATTGTATGCCGCTATCGTGACCCATTTTTTTGTCGACTCCCTTAACGTGTCCAGAAATTTGTTTCAAAATCTTATTTTTTCTTCGCATACCCTTATATAACCATCATAGAATCCTATTGGAAAATATTTTAGACAATTTGGACGTAACGCATGTTTAAAATAAAAACCAACGGCGTTCCCGATTATCAGTGACGGAAATTAAATCAATTGAATATATAACAAATATAGCATATATTAACGTATTATATTAAGTAACGATTGTTATACGGGCGGCAGTACTCACCTTGGTTCAATGGAGGAAAGACCCCCAATGGACAGTAGTTCGTGGTATGTTGACGGACTCTAGCAAACTTCTTCTCAGTTAATTTGATGTTGTTCAAGCTTAATAGCTATGGTAGTTCTTACCCTAGACTTAGTTTAAAGCTCCTACAAGTACTTGTTAATTTTTATCATTTACGGAGTTATGTGCAGTTCTAAGTTATTTTATGCACATGTATATATATAGCCCTATTCTTAAGTATTAAGTCTTGATCTAGTTGCCAGCATGCTAAGGGATAAGCTCAAGAGTTAGTGGCATTACTCATTACTAGCCACGTGTGTATACTTGGATAAGTATTAAATTCATCACTTATCACAATACATTTTGTTTTTGATAAATTATAAAATTTACACCTTCAAAATATAAAACTGCAATTCTGTGCTAGTAATATCTACTTATATTTTAGTATTAACTTTATCATGACACAAACTTGGTTTTAACTTTTTTTTAATACTTTAATTCTGCATGACCTTTTAATTTGTAAATCTTTTTTTTCTAACAAAAATAATACTCCGTATGTTATTTTAAAAAAACATATATAAAATATTTATAATTTATTTGTTTACTTCTAGACCCATTTTTAGGGTGTTACAATTCTTCCCCACTTAAGAACTTTCGTCCTCGAAATTTTCCTTATTATGTATCATAGAAACGATGTGGGTATATGTCAAAGGGTAGTTATGTTAGAATCGCATAAAGTAAACGTACCACTAATGTTGTCATTTGAGGGAACAACTTTTTGTGTTCTCATTGGTATATCCGTGTAGGTGCTAGTCTTGTTCCCTCGGTCGTAGTTTCAAAGACCTTTTGCTTTCCTTTATCTCTATTTGGTTGGTTGGTAGACACCGTCATGGTTGTTGGCGTTGCTACTGATGGATTGATTGGACAGTTCTGTCTGAAATGGCCTTTTTGACCGCATCCTAAGCATGCTCCAGTAACATACCAACATTCTTTAGGGTGATGACGATGACAATGAGGGCATAGTGGATAAGTATAAGATGGACTACTAATTCCAACACTAGATGTGGTCTTGGTCTTTTAATTTTGTGGAAAGTCTATGTTTCTAGAAAAATTTCCTTCCTCAGATGATGTAGGAGGCGAAATGGATTCATATGATGTTCCAGAGGCTACCTTCTTATCTAAGACTCTCTTTGCTGCAATCCTTTCTTCAGCTCGTTCCACCTTTGCATAAACTGCGTTGAAAGTGGTATAGTCGACTATAACCATAGCTAGTCCCAAATCGTGATCTAGGCCTTCAACAAACTTTTCACACCTTCTCACTGTGTTGTTTACCAGATCTATTGCATATTCTTCCAAGTGATCATATTCTTGCCGGCATTCAATTAGAGGTCGTCCATTCTGCTTTAGTTCCGTGAATTGTTTGCACTTCAATTCCCTATATCTATCCGGAACATACTCTTCTTTGAAAACATGTTCAAAGAAGTCCCATGTGATATGTTCAGGAGTGGTGGGATCTCTCTCAATTCTTTTCCACCAATCATATCCCGCGTTTTGAAGTAGTGCAATTGCTAATTGTGGCTTATCATCTTCTGGGACCTTCAAAGTTTTTAGAGCTCTTTTGGTTTTTTACCAACCAGTACTCTGCCTTACCTGGATTCTTTATCTCGTCTGCCAAGAACTCCCCGCCTCCGTTCCTCTTCAACTTTTCCACAGTGTATTGTGGTGGCGCCATGTGCTGAATTGCCTCTAACATTTGAGTGATGGTTCGAACATTTTGATTTGACTCGTCACTACATAGGTTATTCTCGTTGTGGACGGATTGAGTACTCATCTAAAAGAATGTTACGATATTAATACATCTGTATATTTATTATTGTGTTTAATCATATTCGTAACTATTTGTTAATGATTCTTTTATATCATGGCTTATTTTACAATGCCTAATTATGATATCTAAACATGACATTCTTGTTCTTAGGTCTTTCTCGTTCTTACTCTTGGATCAATCTAAGTAGGATTCACTTATTTGTAAATTCCGACTTTAGCTAACTCTGAATAACATGATAATTGAATTTGAAACGATACTCGAATCAAGTTAATTATATCAAGAATTTTTCATGTTTTCATTTTTTTTACTTTACGAAACATATATCCACATAACTTTATATAACTGCTAAGTACTAAATATTTAAAATTTACCTAACCCGAGCAATGCTAGCAGATGAGTGGACGAGATGTAATACTTTTTTTTTAAATTTTTATTTCGGTCCGAAAATCAATTTAAAACCTTGATGCTCTGATACCAAATTGTAACGCCACAACCCGGATACCCAAATTTATTCGAATATCCGACTCGCGGTGTTAACGGGTCTAACTTTTTGAAACAGTAGATGGAGTATTAAACAAAACTTATTTATTTATTAATAATATCGGAATAACTATTATACATGCGGAAGCTTAACATATTCGTACAAAATATATATTTCAAATAACATCTTTATTGTTATTATCTTTGTTTATGTTATCTCGTCCATCCTTCCATCGCCTTAGCATTGTCCTCCGGTTCAGTCACTATTCTGTTTGTGTACCTAAAACAAAATGGAGCCAACCCGATCAGCAAAAGCTGAGTGGTACCAATTATAACAATAGGTACAAAATATAATAGCGTAAACATACACCTTTTCTAAAATTTCTTACGATAATAATATAAACACATTTGTTTTATAAAACTGTAGTATCAAGAAAATCAACTTTTCCTTTACTCTTTGTTTAACTAGGATTTCAAGTACTTCGGGTACAAGACGAGCCCATTACCTCTTTCTGGGACTTCAAGTACTTAGGGTACAAGAGGAGTCCGTTATCTTTTTCTGGGACTTCAAGTACTTTGGGTACAAGACGAGTCCGTTATCTTTTTCTGGGACTTCAAGTACTTTGGGTACAAGACGAGTCCATTATGACGAGCTCGTACGTACGACAATGGAGGGGTACTGGTTAACCCTGTGGAACCTTGTGAACCGTAGTTCACATACCAGAAATCGTTTATTAAATTTAGAAAATATAATTTGTATCTGTTTGTGTCTCATTAACTTCTTTGAATCCATATTTCAAATTCAACACATAATATACTTTTCTCTATATACGTAATTTAAAAATAATATATAGAGTATTTTAATTTATATTTGCTTCAAAGCTATCATTTTTCCCTTACTAAGAACTTATTAAAAACTTTCTTAGAATATAAAGAAATAGTTTAAAGCGTAGAATGTTAAAGAATCCTGTCACCGAAGTTGGTCGTTCCCGGTAACCTTCTCCGACGAGGTAACTTTGTTTTTACGTTCAAAACCCAATTTTCCTTCATTTTCTTATCAAAATACTTTTTATACAACATATATAAATAGTTTGGACGTAAAGATTTGTAGAAATTGTATGCCGCTATCGTGACCCATTTTTTTGTCGACTCCCTTAACGTGTTCAGAAATTTGTTTCAAAATCTTATTTTTTCTTCGCATACCCTTATATAACCATCATAGACTCCTATTGGAAAATATTTTAGACAATTTGGACGTAACGCATGTTTAAAATAAAAACCAACGGCGTTCCCGATTATCAGTGACGGAAATTAAATCAATTGAATATATAACAAATATAGCATATATTAACGTATTATATTAAGTAACGATTGTTATATGGGCGGCAGTACTCACCTTCGTTCAATGGAAGAAAGACCCCCAATGGACAGTAGTTCGTGGTATGTTGACGGACTCTAGCAAACTTCTTCTCCGTTAATTTGATGTTGTTCAAGCTTAATATCTATGGTAGTTCTTACCCTATACTTAGTTTAAAGCTCCTACAAGTACTTGTTAATTTTTATCATTTATGGAGTTATGTGCGGTTCTAAGTTATTTTATGCACATGTATATATATAGCCCTATTCTTAAGTATTAAGTCTTGATCTAGTTGCCAGCATGCTAAGGGATAAGCTCAAGAGTTAGTGGCATTACTCATTACTAGCCATGTGTGTATACTTGGATAAGTATTAAATTCATCACTTATCACAATACATTTTGTTTTTGATAAATTATAAAATTTACACCTTCAAAATATAAAACTGCAATTCTGTGTTAGTAATATCTACTTATATTTTAGTATTAACTTTATCATGACACAAACTTGGTTTTAACTTTTTTTTTTGAATACTTTAAATCTACATGACCTTTTAATTTGTAAATCTTTTTTTTTCTAACAAAAATAATACTCCGTATGTTATTTTAAAAAACCATATATAAAATATTTATAATTTATTTGTTTACTTCTAGACCCATTTTTAGGGTGTTACATATACACCTCATCCTTAAGATCTCCGTGTAGAAATGCATTGTGAACATCCATCTGATGCAATTCCCACCCCTTAACTGCTGCAACTGCTAAAAGCGTTCTCACAGTGGTCAACTTGACTACACGAGCAAATGTTTCTTTGTAGTCAAGTCCTTCAACCTGATGATTGCAAAGTATAACAAGTCTGGCCTTATATCTCTTCACACTCCATCGGACTTGCGCTTGATCTTATATACCCATTTGCAACCAAGGGGCTTCTTATGGCGTGGAGGAGAGACAAGAGACCACGTCCCATTAGCCTCCAGTGCATCAATCTCCTCTCTCGTAGCCTTCCTCCATCGTTCATCTTGGAATGCTTTCTTGAAACTCGTGGGCTCCACTCCAGCATCAAGTGCGCTGAGAAAACACTTGTGTCTGTCAGAAAACTTCTCGTGTGTGACATACGAGGCGAGAGGATATTTGCATTTTTCACCAATATGTGAACCAGCTACATGGGTAACATAATCGGCAAGGCGCACATTTGGACGTTTCTCACGCTGACCACGGCCCAAGTTCTCCACTGCCTACTGGGAAGAGGACAGTCGACCGCCGTCTGTGGAACGGTCCACGTGGTCGACCGTCTGAAGCTGTTCCGGATCGCTAACTTTTTGCCTCGGAGACGGTCAACCGTCTTCCACATCACGGTCGACCGTTTGATCATCTCCCAAAGAAACGTCATTCTGCCTCGCGGACGGTCGACCGTGGATATCAGAACGGTCCACTAGGTCAACCGTTTGGTCATCTCTCAGGAACCCGTCATTCTGCCTCTCGGACGGTCGACCATGGACATCGGAACGGTCCATCAGATCGACCGTCGGTAGCTGGTCTACTCTGCCGCTTTCCTCCGGTCGATCGTCCCTTCTGGAACGGTCCATCTGTTCTTCCATCTGCAGTTCTTCATCTTCATCATAAGAGCTAACCTCATTTGTACTTCATGTATCAAGAGATGCACATGTAGGAGTCAAGAAAGGGAAAATATTTTCACAAAACACAACATCCCGGGACACCTTGATTTCTCCAGTGTCCGGGTAGTAAATACGACATCCCTTCTTTCCTTGTGGCTATCCAACAAATATTCCAGGATTGCTTCTCGGTGCAAATTTATCACCGTTCCTCTTCAAGTTATGAGCATAACATCTGCATCCAAAAACACGAATATGAGCCAAAGAGGGTGGTTTTTCATAGATCTCGTATGGTGTGACCCCCTCTAGCAAAGACGAAGGTGTGCGATTGATCAGATGTGTGGCGGTCTGTATACACTCTCCCCAGAACTCAATCGGAAGACCAGCGTGAAACCTCAAAGCCCGACCCACATTCAAAATATGTCGGTGCTTGCGTTCTACTCTCCCATTCTGTTGTGGAGTAGACACACAAGATGTCTCATGAATAATTCCTTGCTCCCGAAAATATTCGTTTAGACACTCAAATTCTGTGCCATTATCACTGCGAACACACTTTATTTTCTTCCCAAATTGGCGTTCTACCATAGCACAAAATTGTTTAAAAACAGTGCCAACCATACATTTGGAATCAAGCAAGTGTACCCAAACACCCCTTGAAAAATCATCCACAATGGTCAAGAACATTGTAGAACCATCAAAACTTGGAGTCCGATATGGTCCCCATAACACAGTGTATCATATCAAATTTATCAACAGATTGATAAATACTTATAGGAAAGCTTCCACGAGTCTGTTTAGCACGCAAACAAATGTCACAACAACTATGACTGCTTTTACTTGTTCCGACTTCAGGAACAAAAGACAAAACATGAGAGGAAGGATGTCCAAGTCGTTTGTGCCAAAGATCAAACTTACTCTCCTTCTTCGCACTACACACCATCTTCTTTTCAGGCTTCTTGAAGTAATAAAGTCCCCCTTCCTGCTCACCCATACCAATTTCTGTCTTTAAACTCAGATCCTGTAGTATACACTTATCGTTGGCAAAACGTGCCTCACAATTCGAATCCCTTGTCAATTGTGACACAGAGATTAAATGACAACTCAAAGTAGGAACATATAGAACATCATGCAGAATTAATGTTTCTGTTAATTTAATCTTCCTAGATTGTACAGAAATAATTCTTTTCCCATTGGGCAAACCAATCTCACATGGTGATATTCCCACGACATCATGCAATAACAAAATATCACCAGTCATATGATTTGATGCCCCAGTATCTATAATCCAACGTGGTGTCACAGGAATACCTCAAAGCTTCATACTAGAAACACACGATGATAGGGAGAAAAACATCTTCCTTGGTTGTTTATCGGCCATGGCGGTAGCAGAGTGGCGTACGGCGGTGGCGGAAGAATCAACAGCAGCATCAATCAAACAATCTGCCGACGGGACGGTCGACGTGCTCGACCGTTCAAGAGCAACGGTCGACCGTTCCGTTATCCGGCAACAACAACAACCGACTAAAACTGAGCAACGATCGATGGACGCCATGCCGGGCGATCGTGAACAGCAGTCGCTGAAAATCTCTAGGGTTTTGGCTCTGATATCATGAAAGAATTATTTGGGAGGAAATTCTTTGTATTTCTTTCTTGTCTTTACAATTTACAATGAAGCCATATATATAGGATCTTGAGACTCCTAATTAGTAAAGGAAAAGAAAAAAGAAAGAATCCCTATACAAGGAAAACTACCAAAATAATATATATACAGATATCTCCAAATATTCTCCGAATATATTCTTTCCTTTAACACCTATGAAAACCCCCTCCCTTCCGTGATTGACCAGCGTTAGTGGGCATCATAGCCACACTCACGTACGGAAGAAACTAGAGGGATGTATTTCCATGGGTGTTCCACAAAAGAGAGTTATTTTCTTTTTATTTAATAATACGAGTATAAAATTATTTCGTTTATGTTTTTTTACTACAACTTCTATTTTCTTTATAATTTTTTATATGCAAGTTATTATTATTTGACAAATAATATACTGTCAGATATCTATCCAATAATACCAATAACGTGCTCTTATGCTATAAAAAAGTAAAAACAAAAAACAAAATAATAAAATAATAATCACGAAATAAAATTTTATTATTTTGTATTATTATTTTATAAATGATAGAATTTAATTTGAATAGAAATAGGTAATTATTCATAAAAAATAAAAGTGAAAATATTGCATTAATGGTGAGGTACTACAGGTGTGAAGGGAGTGAGATAATGGGTACAGTCGATGTAGATTTGACGTTGAGTTGCTGTTGATTTGGAGTGAGCGATAGTGGAGTACTACATATTGTCTAATGGTAAAATTTTAAAATTAATTTTAACACTGAGTACCACATCCAACCCCACAAATCTTTTAAACTCAATCAGTTTTAAAACAATAAACATATGACACCAAGTTCAACAAAGTATCTACATTTAATTGAAAAAATAAATAAATTATTATATTTAATTAAATTAATATATGTATGTGTGTGTGTGATGTATATAATAACAAAATTACCAAAAAAGGGTATGAGATGATATGTGGCAACTATAATTAAATCCAAAATCCAATTCTTATTTTGAAGAGCCAGTGTTTACTAAGAGAAGATAAATTGAAACTTGATCGTAATTTGGTAGCAAAAAGTGAAACTTGTACCTGATACTTATACAGACTCTATATTTAACATAATTATCTCTTAGCAAAATTGAAAGGAATCAAATTCTAGTCTTATCTCTTAACACTTCTTTTCTTTGTTAACTGTGCAACGCTCCACAATAAAGATATAGTTTTAATCAAAACCCAATGTCATATCATCCATTTGTAATGGTTGATGTTGGTTTTTTGGATCTAAACCTACCCCATAAAATTATCATTACAACCAAGAATGTGTAAACTTCATTATTAACGACCCAATATATTTTAAGCTCTCAAAACACACCCACTCTCAACTTTTTCCCCAAATTGAAGAAACAACAAAAAGGACAGTACAACATCTAAACATTCATTTGTCACCAATTGTGAGCCAGCCTACATACAGGTGACAGAATGGTCAAAGGTACGACCAAAATAAGACTAAAAGGTAAGACCAAAATAAGACTAACGGGTGAAAAAGATGTGTAATGAGAAGTGAAAACAAAGTAGTCCCTCCAAAACTAATAATGATTCTTGAATATGGAAGGGAGAGAGTAATCCAAAAAAAAATTAAAGTACTATAACTCCTCTGAATTCGCAGATAATTCGAAAAATATGAGTAATAAGAAGAAAAATTACAACAACAACAATAATAATACAGTCATGAACAACAACAAAAATAATTCCACTAATAATAATAATAAATCTTGAAAATTATACAGGCGTGCCGTGGACGAGGACAAAGCACACGACGTTTAGGTTTTATTTGACAGCTAAGATGGGTCAGAAGCCGACACCGGCAGCCCCAAAGCCGAAGGTGGCGCGACGATGCGGCTCCAGCAGCTTCCTGTCCTTCCAGAAACAAGGCTCCGGCGCCAGCTTGGCCGCCGCGGTCCTCATCGGCTCGGACTTGCACCTCGTCAGCACAAACGGCTCATACGCCATCGCGTTGACCAGCTTCTGCTCGATCAAACTCGCCATTGACCCGCCGGAAACCGACGACCTCGGCGGCAGCGAACACGATGACCTCCTCACCGGCTGAAGCAGCAGCTGGCGGCTCCTGTCCTGCTGCTGCTGAGGACGTTTATTAACAGTGGTGTCTTTTTTGCGAGCTTTGGCTTGTGGCGGCCTCTCCGGCATCCACCTGACGAAATCCGTGCTGCAGACCCATGTCTCCTTGGAGACCTCCATGGATAGCTTGGGTTCACACATCATTAGCAGTAAACAGTCTGGCAGAGCATCTTCTTTCTTAGACAATTTTGTTACATTTTCCTCCTCATCCTTCTCTTGTTCTTCCACTACTTTCTTCAATGTTTCCTTCTGAATCTCAGCATCTGGCTCTTCCACTATTGCCTCATCTGCAGCTGCTCCGAATTCGGGCCTGTTGGTTTCTTCAGTAAGTTCTTGAATGGATGCCTCTAGTTTATCGTCTCCTTCACAATGTTGATCTGGGGAGTTAATTTGTGAAGAAGAAGAAGAAGATGGGGGCGGGGTGCTTTCTTCTTTTTCTTCTTGCTCTGATGAAAGCGGGTCATCTGTTCCTACGGGTTGATGATCATTTATCTGAGAACTCACATCTTCTATGCTTGATTGATGATGATGATGATCAATGTGAGAATCAGGCAAGGCTGAATCTACATCTTTTTGCTTGTGATCATCTGTCTCCATCTTTGCCTCCTCCTCTGGATGTACTTGAGTTTCCTCTTTCTCGCAACACGGTGCTTCTTCAGCCATCGGTGTTTCTTCATTCGGGTCCTCTTTGGGCACAACAGAGGATGAAGCATTGTATTCATCAGCCAATTCCTCAGCACACTCATCATTCACCACCAACACTTCAACTTCAGGCTCATGACTTTCCTCTTGTTCTTCGACAGCTATGTCTTCTTCGCCCTTTGGGTCTTCGTTCTTGGTGAAATCAGATGGCGTTTCCCAGAACCGATTGGTGAGAGCGGCCATTTTCATTGGATCGGACCGACACCGCATCAAAAGGAGAGCATTCTTAGGGGGAATGCAGATACTCACCCGGGCATTCTCTTCCTCAGCTACTACTGTTTCTCCATCCTCGCCATTATGTTCCTGAAAAGTTTCCCCTTTGAGGTCAAAATCTTCAAAAACGTGCCTTCTGGATCTCGAACTCGGCATTGCAGTGCTGGGTCTACCGCCAATTCTCTCCTCCTCCTCATCTCCTCCTGCAACCACGAGCTCAATTTCCCTTTCCTTTTCTCCTACCCCGTCCTCCTGCACGGCCACCAGCCATCTAGCCAACACGGCGCCACAAGATCTGTGCTGCTGTTCATTAGACGGCTCACCATTGCCGCCGTCCTTAGATCCGTTTTCTTTCCCCGCTTTATCCCTCTCGTTGGGGGAGAAACAGGAAGACCGGCACGGAAACAGGCAGCTAAACTCGGCCCCGAACGTCCTCAGAGCTTCGCAGATGGTCAAAGGCAAATGAACCCACCTCTGGTTCCTGTGAGGCACGCATTCCTGATAATGGACGCTCGAACTCCTCTGGCCTTGGAGAGAGTGGAGCGACTGCGACCCATCCTCCGTCGTCGTCCCCTGATCTAATTTCCTGAAACTCAAATCACCCCTCCGGTTCGACAGGCTTCTGGTGTGCTTCACCTTCTTCTTGGTCTTCACACGGACTTGGCCGATGCAAGTGACCTTCGGGGAAGAAGGCTCGGGGTTCTCGAAAGCGGAGCCGCGCTTCTTGGGGAACATCGGGGAGGCCTGGCCGGCCTTGATGCTGCCGTTGCTCCTCAGACGCCGGCTAAGGGAAGTGGAGAGGGAAACGGATGGGTCGCGAGACCGGCCCGGACTGAGTATAGATTTGGAGAGCTTCATGGAAGAAGAGGAAGGGAGACGGGAAGCGAAACAAACCAGGAGCTCTCCAGTGGCTGTCGTACCGCCACTATTAATGCTTGGAGTCCTGTGATAGGGGGGTCTATCTCTATCTCTCTCCAAGTCCATAACCGTAAAATCACCCTATCAGCTTCTTCTACTACTACAACTTCAATGTATGCCCATGAATTGTTTGATTGTGCGTCTGAGGAGAGAGTGAGAAAATGGCGAGAGATAATTGAGAGAGAGAGAGAGAGAGAGAGAGAGAGAGAGAGATGGTGGGTTCTGCAACAGTGGGGCTTGCAGTTTGCAGAGAGGGGGGGAGGGGTTGTGCGGTGTGGATTGAAAGAGAGAGCACGGAGGGAGGGTGGGGATCACTGGGGATGATGGGGATGGGGGAGTGAAACGGGAAAATGACGATGTGCGGTTTGTCTGTAGCTCAAAGTAACTTTTGATCATTTTACTGGCCTGGACCGGGGGCAATGTTGTAAATGCAGTCTCCTCGAGATCCACGGCTTCAGGGTAACGGGAGTTACGGTGCAGATGCTTGCAGATTTCGGTGCCACGTGACCATTCTGAAAATTTATTAGACTTTTTTTATAGAAGTAAACTACTCCCTCCGTCCCCTAAGATGTTCTCATTTTGATTTTTGGTAGTTTTTAAAAAGAGTTGAAAAAAGGTGAAAGTTTACCATAATGCCCTTAATGAAAAATGGGTGGAGTGTATTAAATGAGGTGGGTGAGGTGTAATAAATAAAGTAAGTGGGGGTAGTTGTGGTATTTTAATTGTTAAAAAATGAAATGAGAAGATCTATTGTGGACAAAGAAAAAGGACTATTGGGAAGATCTATGGGGGACGGAGGGAGTACTTCCCTTCCATAACAAAAATTGTACTACCTCCGTCCCAGATTATTTATCCCCTTTCATTTTTACACACCATCTAATACACGGGGGAAAGACCAAAGTAGGACTAAAATATTGAAAATATATCAAAATAGGACTTCCATGTTTTTATTCCCGAAATAGGACTTACATTACCATACATGGTCATATACATTATCAAAAAAGTATAGTAATTTGCACATGTACACTGCCACATTACCACATGGCAAAGTCACATTACCACAGTGCAAAGTCCTATTTCAGAAAAAAAACATGAAAGTCCTATTTTGGTATTTTTCTCTATGTTTTCGTCCTATTTAAGGTGATTTCTACTAATACACTTCTTTAATCCATTTTATCTTGTAATTTGTATATTAAAAAATTATAGAAATTATATATTAATAATCTATATATTAAGATAAATCAAAAAGATCACACATGACTATATTTAGGCTTACACATTGAGAGAATTTGATGAGTCAAAATGCTTAGATGAACAGTTCCAAAAGTCAAAACTGGACGAATACTCCGGAACGGAGGGAGTATATCAATTTATCTGTTATTGGTTTACATCTTCATTTGATGTTAGTGTGATGGTTCATTTAGACATTAAAATATTACGGAGTAGTACAAAAAATTTTAATCACACAAATTTTATGTCAATATAAACCATTAAGGGGGCGTTTGGTTAGGGGGTAAGGGAATCAGGAAACGAAATGGGATTCCCTGATTCCATTTGTTGTTGTTTGTTTAAAAAAAAATTCATTCCCTTTCCCTACTTTTAGGTTTTCTATTCTCCAATTTAGGCTTTTCTCATTCCCCTCCACATACCCCGGTTTCTGATTCCCATTCCCCTTCCCCAACCCTTCCGATCCGACATACCTCATCCCTGCGACTCACCCCCTCCGCCACAGACCTCGCGTCCGCCGTCCGCCATACACCTTGCCGGCCGCCGCTGCAACTCCATCCCAGGTATGTTCTCC